GGTCCAGGCCCTGCTGGTACCAGCTGCTAGTACTGTCCTTTCGGCTTCTTCCAAACTGGCACCCCAGGACGCCAGTCCCTCTGCGGCCGTCATGGACCCACAGAAGGCGAGCCTTTACATCTACCCGTCAAACATGCACGGCCTGTTCAGCGTGGCGGCCCAGGCCGAGGCTCCATTCCTGGCCATGCAGCAAAACCTAGGCGAGATCTTCCAGAATCAGTGGGGGTTATCCTTTATAAACGAGCCCAGCGCGGGCCCGGATGCCTCGCCCAGGAAGCCGACGGACACCAAGGCGGGCGAGGTGACCTTCCAGGGTTCCTCCTACCCCGCCGCGTCAGTTCCTCCTGCGGCCGAGACTCCTCCCGCTGGACCCGAACAGCCGGCCTTCCCCAAGGCCTACGAGCTGGCCAGACGGACTAGTCCCCAGCTTTTGGGGGGACTCTTGAAGATGGGGGCCGCTGGGGAGGAGAGCGACCTGCTGTTAGAGCCCCACTTGCCGGGGGGCCTGCCCCAGGCTGAGCTGGGGGGCCCGGGGACCTTTGTGTTCCTCGCCAAGGACTATCATCCCGGAGACAGTCGCCTGTCTTCGCCTACGAACACTTTCTTAGTCTCCACCAAAGAGCAGAGGCAGCCCGGCAGTCTAGAACGGAAAGCCAGCTGGGGGGAGTTCGACCTCCGGGCAGCTGTTCTATATCACATCCAAGGTAAGGTCTCCCGGGCTTCCTCCCCTCCCTGGGAGGGACTCCGTTCCCCGTCAGCCCCGGCATTTTCTGGAGAACTGCAGTCCAGTTTGCGGTTTGGGCCCTACCCTCCAGGGTTGGCGTTGGGTCTCCCCGGGGTCTGGGAGCTGGAGAGGGCGAGCTGTTAATGCAGGTTATCCTCAGCTTGCAACCATAACGGAGCCCCCGATATTCCTGTTGCTAAGCGAGACAGTCGTTAAACGATCTTTGCCCCGTTTTCCCAACTTTCTTGCCTCAGTTGTTAAGCGAATCACTGCAGTTGCTCTGTCAGTAACCTGGTCGTTAGACGAATCCAGTTTCCCCGTTGACTTTGCCTGTCGGAAGGTTGCAAAAGGGAACCTCACGTGACCCCGATGGATGCTGCAACGGTTGTTTATACGAACCAGTGGCCGAGCGTCTGAATTTGGGTCATGTGACCATGGAGACGTTGCAAAGGTGGTGGCTCTGAGTAACGGTCATTTTTCCCCCCAGTGCCGTTGTAACTTTGAATCAACTGAAAATGGCTTCTACTGTACTGCTACAAAATGGCTTCTACTGCACAGCACAGTGGAGCTGTCGTGGTAACGGCTTCACAGTAGTCCACAAGGGGGCTCCCTCTCGTAGGGGGGAAAATCCAACATTAGAAATTACATTTGGTCCGGACATTTTCCCCCTATAAATAAATACAGTATTTTTCGGAGCATAAGACGCACCTCCCCCCCCCCCAAAAAAGAGGGAGAAAATCTGGGTGCGTCTTATGCACTGAATACAGCATTTTTGGCATCCCAAAACCCCACTTTGGGATGTTTTTGCAAAACTTTGCAAAAATGGCCGTGCAGAGCCTTTAGGAGGCTTCCAGAGTGCTCCTGGGGGCTGGGGAGGGCAGAAACAAGCGAAAAATGGGCTGTTTTTTGCCCCCCTCTCCCCCAGGAACACTTTACAAGCCTCCTAAAGGCTATGCATGCCCTTTTTGGGGTGAAAAAGGGGGTTTTGGGAGGTCTGCAGAGTGCAAAATTATGTTTTTTAATTTGCATCTTCAAAATATTGGTGTATCTTATACTCTGAGAAATACGGTACAGGCAGGTTATCAGCTAGCTCAGTGTTTCCCAAACTTGGCCACTTGAAGATGTCCGGACTTCAACTCCCAGAATTCCCCCGCCAGCATTCGCTGGCTGGGGA